TTTAAGGATGACATCGCTCAGCCGCCAGCAGAAGGGGTATATGTGCACGGGCTTTACCTTGATGGTGCTGGGTGGGACCGGAGAGGCTGTAAACTGGTGGAACCCACGCAGAAGGTCCTTTTTACGTCTATGCCAGTCATTCACATCTATGCAATCAATATAACAGCTGGACGTGATGCCCGGATGTACCAGTGTCCGATATACAAGAAGCCCAAGAGAACAGATTTGACGTACATTGCAAGCGTGGACTTAAAAACCAATCAGAATCCAGATCACTGGATTTTACGCGGTGTGGCTTTATTGTGCGACATCAAGTAAAAGTTGGTTTATCCGCAATTCCATGTGGTAGACGATGACTTTTGTGTTACTAAACGTACATTAGTTGTAGAAACTATCCTCTGATGTAATTAACTGTGTGACATCACACTGTGTGCCGTGTCATACAACACAACAATCCCTTTCAGAACACCACTATATTATATTCAAAGATTTTCATAGAGTATATAGTTTTTCAAATTTTATTTATTGACTCAACTTTTTATCTTATGCACAAAGATTCAATATGATAACATGTTTTAATCACATCCTACTGTTGACCTACATTTGAACCAATTATTATTTTAAGTCTCGATTAATGAATTTTCCTCTTCTACCAAAAGGTAAACACTATCAAGTAGCGAATGTCGCGATTCATAACTAAACTTCCTAAAATCTAAGTAATTTCTTTGAGAGGGGAAAATCTTGTAGAATAAACGTGATTTCTTCAGTTACGTTTGATACTTGTTTTGTAAAACCTTGCGTGAATAAAACACCGTATAGCTTGTTGTTTATTTACAGCATTGGGTGCTTTAAAATTCGGTTGCTGCTGCGGAGAGAAAAATGGTAAAGGAGAATGAACTGGTGCTGTACACTCTCATTGGTTCAGCCTCTGCGGATGGCAAACTCGGTTTGTTCATTCAGGAATTGTGAGCTTAAATTTGTCTCTTTCCATCCGTAAAAATATTTGCTCTTTCACTCTCTTTAATCCTTGTGATTAATCCTACACCTTTGGTGCTGGTGAAACCCAATTAATTAACTTTTTAACGTTTCATTCCGACGAAACACTTATCTCGTGACACTGACAATTACTAAGATATAGTGACGTAGATCGTCTAAAGTTAAGATCGCCTAGAACCTAAACGCTAACACTCCTTCGGAAGTGTCTGGCAGTTCACGTTGAGTAATTAAGTTGACACCGAGCCGGGTCTCTGCTCTACTCTTGGACAGCTGGTGGAATTAGAGTCGACAGCGGTTTGCACTCATCTTTAGGGAACTCGAGAACTTCTTCTCCTTCCCTAGAGCAACAAAAAATGTAAGGAAATGATGCAACATCGGTGGATAACCTGGTACATACACACATATGATAGTTCACTAAAATCCTCGCAACAAATAAGCTAACACGGGAAATTCTGAAACGTAGAAAAATTGAGAACTACCTTGCCACAAGTCTGAGAACCAGTTCAACCTTCCTAGAGGGATCCACCGTGATTGGTTCGGCCGTGACAAACTGTTGTGTGCTGTGGCCTTGTAATGTTGTAGCACCTGCTCTCCATGCTGGATCCGGTTCAACTACATTGACAGGTCTCGCTGCCTGAGCTGAGTAAATAGAATCAAAGGTGGTCACTGAATTGTTCCCGCTCAAATCCATTACGTAATAGAAAGGTTTAACAACGTGTTTACGTGAAAAGTGAACGGCAAGAGTGACTATGTGACCTTGTTTTTACCGCCACTTTTTCACGTTTGCCTTTTCTACGTGAAAGTAACCTGTTTGCTGTGTACGTAAGATTTTTTTTACCTTTTTTCTCAGAGTAGAAGGTAATTGCTTTAAAAAGGGCACCAAAACTATTCTCCGCAAGTCATATAAGGGCGACTTCAAATCCACCATGAATAAAAAAGCTGAAGTAATCAGGTTTGCGCTATTTTACGTGAAGTGTAAAAGGGCAAGCTTACGTTTGCCGTTTTACGTAAACGCGATGATTAATCTCTCAAATATTGGAATTACACAACAAAATGAGAGCACCGTAATAGATAGTTTAAAATATCAAAATCATAATTATTGTCCTCATTATACTTTTTTTCTCCTACCACTTATTACACCGCTGAGTCAGTAAGAGAAATTACACTCCGCCTCCCCAAGACAAATTGTAAATTGATCACGCAGCATCACAACTTCATGGTCGAGGATTTGAGACATGGCATGTAGCTTTTAAATTGTCAAATCAAAATACAGAGCTCGAGTAACTATGACTATCGTCTCGCCAAGCTTTATCAGATGAAAACAGTCACTTACCCATGGGCCCGTCACCGTAACGGGACCACCTTTCATAACATAATGGCGGCGTTCGCCATGCTGAAAATAATAATAATAATAATCATAATAATAATAATGACAATAATAATTATAGATATATGTAAATGTATATGTATACGTATATGTATTCGCATACATATATATGTGCCTCACAGAGAAACTTTATCTAATTAGAGCTAAGAAGCCGTCTTTTTTAAACAAAAGAACAGAACTTATTTCTAAATGCCACCACGAGAATAAATTTTATTCATCAAATTTCACAAATTTCACAAGCCACCAACAATAGCCCCAGAGAATATTTATCTATTCATTTCATCGCACCAGCGAATTAACTATTATATATAAGGAGGTATGTTCTTTATTGAATAAAATTCTGTCTGACGAGCGCTTCGACGCGAAACTCAGAGTAACAGAGAATCGATGGGTCCTCTTTGATTCTTTAACTAATATATATATATAAATTCATACAAGGGAAACCCTGACCCTGTACACCCCATGTAATCACATTTATTCTATTTATATATATATAAAAAGAAGAAGTAATGTGGCACACGAGGANNCTTATCTTCACTTTTCTGTTAATTTCTACTGATATGTTATATAATTATATTTCTAAATACTGTGTATTTTTAGTACATTTTAGTATAGTTAGTATTTTAGATCTTGTATATATATATATATATATAACTGCAGACAGTACTGTTTCGGCCTTCTGGGCCTCATCATATATATATATATATATATATATTTATTAAGTAGGGAGGTTTTCTAGACTCATGAGTGACAAAATTTTCATTTTAGCTTACATACTTCTTCTATCCCAGGCACTCTGATCATCACCAGCTGTAGCTGTGGCAGATGGCCCAGAAAAATTGCCTTGAACTACAGGGATTACTTCGGGTGTGAACACACACTTAAGAACTCCATTTTCAGACCGCCCAGACACAATCCCCGCCTCTTTCGGTGCAGTTTTCGCTCGGTAGAAGGTGAACCTCTTGGCTTCGTATGCGGATCTTTCTATTGACATCTCCTCTCCTTCACGGAGGGCCCATCCCCCTACGTCATAACCATCAATTGATATGTCCAGATGACAACCTAGAAAGGACCACAAGTGATAACGAACAACCTCCTGGACAATTCTATTCTGCCACGTTGAAGGCCAGGAACTCAAATATTCAGTTGAAGGAAAATTCACCAACTAATTCTCACACGATCAGCAAGGCTTTACCAATTAGTTGGTAAAAGGTGACACAATTTAGTCTTAAGGTAACCTGGGCTGCCAAAAATGATTTTAAATGTAGTTATGTTTGATATTTTACACATTGATGCATTTAAAAACAAGAGTGCAAGTGAATGGCCATGCTGAAATTTGAGGTTTAGTAATTAATTTTTGTGGCCATTGCTTCTTTAGGAGGTGAAGCCACATATGTTGTCGAGATGAGTGAGTGAGTGATTGAGTGATGGTAAAAATAGAATTCTGATCTTGACCTTTGACACAATTTTTCCAGGACCACTTATCATTGTCCGAGAGTATCTTAGTAGTTTGACATTTGCACCCAAAATACATTAGGGTTCTCTCTTTTTGTGTTTTCTGGGTTAATACTAACTATGGTTAATACTGACACATGTTATCACCCTTGTTCTTGTTGTGGTGACTGCCTCACATATAATAGGAGTCAAAGCCATCATTTTATGGGGATAAGTGAGTGCATTAGTCAAGTGATTGATGGTAAGTAACGATAGAATTCTGATCTTGATAATGGTAATACATTAATATACTATTTCAGTGTCTTTTCTCAATGGTCTAAAAATGCTCCCCTGAAGGGAAATTGTAATTAAAATGTTGATTATGTCTACAAAAATATTAATTATATTAATTATGTCTATAACAAATAAAATAATATTTATAAAAAAGTACAATTATAACAATAAAAAAATCAATGTTCCATGGTATAACCCAGATTTGACCCAAGGTTTCTCCGTGCTTCTTATTGTTTTTTCTTATGGGAATCTCTTTAGTTATTAATTCAACATTTGCAGTCTCTCCTTTTGCGACGTAAGGCTTATAGCCATTAGCACATTATATTTCCAGTTCTTGCTGTAAAACTACAAAAGAAAGCCGAAGACGACGACTTTCTCACGATCATTTCAATTAAAAAAATTTTTTTTTAATTGCATAATTAGATCATAAGAGTTGAGATTGGTGCATCATGAGACTTTTTTTTTTCCCTTGGTGGCTATTTTAAATTGTCAACCCAATTGATAAAACCAAATTATCAATGTTTAACAAGTGCTGATCCCATTAATTTTTAACAGCATTTAATTTTTGTGATTGCATGATCTATTCAGTTCACAAACAGAAAATATTTGTGCTTGTCTCTTACCATAGGGATGTGAATTTTTGACATGTATCGTATACTGTGTCCCACTTTTCATTTCCACAAACTCTCCCTCTGGAGTTTTGAAGTGTTCTCCTCCTATTATTTCTACAGAGTAGCCCCTGTAAACAAGAAAGTTCACATATCGTACCGGTGCTGCTCCATGGGCTAGGTCCTGTTGTACCCGGCCAGATGAAGCAGCCTGAGTGGGTCCTTGTGATTGTTGCCCCACATGAGCAGCTGAAGGTGCCGGAGATAAAGTGCAGGGGCCTGGGATAAAAGAAAAATATAAGGTCCTGTCTAGCATGCACCCATCCAACTTTTAGGTATCCAAAGGTTTTAAAATAAAATAATACCCTCTGTGTAACCTTTTTCAATCATAAAAAAATACTTAAGGTGTGAAAAAAAAAAGACAGTCAACAAAACTGATAAAATCTTGGCTTATGAGTCATAAACACCCTGTTAATTAATAAACAACAAAAAAATAACAAGGATTGCCAGAAAGACAAAACTGCTGGATTATAAAATATCTCCCTCTAACATTATAATTTAGTTTTTTAAACTTCTAAACAAATCAAGCTGACCTTAAATCTGCCACTTAAACCTCATAAAATTTAACTGTTAATTGTAAATCTAACTATATTCATCTTGCTAAATTTCAAATTAGGTATCTCAGTTTTAATTCAAACATTTCTATGATTGACAATTCTTTGAATGCAGTTATACATCAAAGAATCTATCATAATGTAATAAGCAATTATAGAAGGCAACAAAAGCACATCTAACAAGTGAAAAGAATGGTTCATGAGGTATCCATGATTGTTGCAAACTGCTGGCGGTTAACTTTCTGTTTTACAAGTCTCACCACTATTTAGAGCAATCAGTGAAGCATCACAACTGGCCACAAGGCAATGTTTTGTTGGAGTAGCTTCTCTAGAACCCCTAGTTCTGGTGACTGAGGGGGAACTCAATGCTGAATGATAAGGTAGCGGTGCTGATTTCAAGTGCACAGCATGAGCTAATTGATTCAAGCAAAAAAAAAAAATTGATCAACCTTATGCTGGGCTCATAAAAAATAACTTTAAGTTTACTCCAGGGAATTTAATGAAAATGGGTTTAGTTGGAGAGTTTTACAACCAAACCAAGTGGTCAAGAGAGAATGCAATTTTTTTGTGCAGCAAAGAAATCTACTCAGTATCCCTAAAGACCTGATTGACAAAAAATGCTCCCCAAACTGATGAAAACAAAACTGCAAATTCTGCAAAAAGTTAATTACAAGTTATTCCTTTAAAAGTGAATGCAACGAGTGATTAACAAAATCAGATGACTGTGAAGAGGGAACTTCTGATTTGTTAGTTTCAAGTATGATTACAGACAGAATTCATTGGATGACACAAAGTTTCAAGTTTCAAGTTTATTAGGTCTTCCAACACAATCACTTACAATGAACACGGCCTGCAAATAGCGAGCTAATCTAGGCAGGCAGTGTTAAGGACAAACAAACACGAATTACTGCCTAATTGAAGGTGTTAAAAAAAAGTCAATTTTGAATACATTATTTGTCAAAAGAGGAAAAAAAGTGATAAAAAGTGAAGAAAAATATTATAATTTATGATTGAATTGTAATCAAGATGCCTTTTTTATTTCAGAAATAAGAGTGCTAGTGTCAGCATAACAGTCCAGAGTTTCTCAATTTCAAATAAAAATGCTTGAATTTTCTTTTTGAACATGTGCTTTGGTAGTTTTCGATAGCTTTCGGGAATGCTGTTCCAAATTTTAGCACCAACAATGGAAAAAGAGTTTTTATGATGATTGAGCCTAGAATGATTAATATAGTAGTTACCAGAAGATGATGAGCGAGTATTATACTGATGTATGTCTTGTGTAGAAGTANAAGGAGAGCAAGCTCGTATCAGTTTGACAAATTTTTATAAGAGGGATTGAGGTATGGCTTAAGTCTAAAACGGGACCGTTTCATTTAATTTTGACATCACGGAACGCTTTCAAAAATTACCGATATTTCAAACTCCAAATATCGCATTTTGTAACACATGCGGTATAACTCAGAATCGATTCAGGTTAAGCTCATGATAAGTGGAAATAGTGCTGTTTTTGAGGATATAAAAATTAATTTGGGGCTTTTCATTTCCGCACGGAAAAACCAGGTTGAACTTTGTGAAAATCGCATCATCGTCATTTACGTCACGAGATAATCTAATTAGGCACCTGGTGGTTAAATCCGGAATTCAAGCACATTTTAGAAGTTAGCACCGTGGTCGATCAGGAGATCAATACAGTAAGCTAGCCTTGCAAAGCTAACCACGGCAGACTGCCGGTTTTTATCTCTGCTTTCGTTTCAAATTCTCATCCATTTCCCATGGCAGAATTGTTTACAATAACACATTCCTTACGCGAGCGGAAGGTGTCTGTTTTTCTTTGGGTATTCGAACACCTATAAGTCCTAAGAAAGTTCTGGGGTAAACTTGAGCTTCATTGTCGACTTAAAAGAGGACAATCCAATCATTTATAACGGCAGGTTAAATGTTCTCTGCCGAATACGTTGAAGACGGGAAGCAATCTGTGTGTAGATGTGACGTACTCAAGCATTTGTCACGCAAAGCTGAAATTATTTCAATCTTGTTCCCATCTTGAGATTTCATGGCCACGAATATCGATGATAAGTATATACTAAAACAGTGGATAGCGTCGAAGACGCGCTCTGATTGGCTAGTCAAACCCCGATTATCCTTTGCTAGTTACCTCCCAGCAACTCGGGAAAAAATGGCGTCCCGTTTTGCATCCGTGACAAGGGAAGAAATCCCTGATATTAATTTTGGTGGTGTATATTTATTTAATCACTTTCACCAGAGTGTGGTGAGGGTCGCACAACAGAGCGAGGCTCCAAATTAAGTGCGCCCTATATCCCACCCATCCCACCCCAGGGGAGGACATCCATCACACAGTAATCTCGTGTGTGGGAAATTAACGTCTCCTACCCCAACCCTGCAGGAGACGGGACCTCCATTTATTCGTCCCTATCCGAGAAGACTAGAATATCTAACCATTTCTTGATGTTATAGAAAGGTAGCAAATTCTTCTCAATTATTTTAAGACCTTGAGTGTTGGTCCGGCCGGGGCTCGAACCCTCGACCTCCCGCACAACAGTCCAGCGCACTATCCATTGGGCTAACTGGGAAGCGGCTAAACAAATACATTGGCGGTTGACAAATACTTTGAGGGGAAAATCTCTGGTAGAGACAACGTTTAAAGTAAGGAAGTGAGGAATTTTTTACTTCTGAGATTGTCTATATATACTGCAGATACAATCTCTTGAGTAAAAAATTCCTCTATTTTGGAAGATTCCTAGTTTTCTAAGGTGACTGGCTATTGCTATGATTTTTGTGATTGGTAGACTTAGCTGAATGTCAGGTGCCTGATTACAGCCACATGTCTGATTATACTGTCCGATTATAACTCTACAGAACATTTAGTAAAAAATAAAGCAACTAAAGCACCAATCACATTTGAGGAAATTGCAATGGTTATAATTAATAACGTAATCACCCTCTTAAAATGACTATACCTTTCCCTGCACCAGGGTTTACTGTGTCAGCAGGATCAATTTCATCACTTTCTGTTGTGCCAGCACTACCTTGATCCCCAATTCCATCAGTCACTATGTCATCTTGACCAACTGGAGAGTGAACAGAGCAACACTCAATAAACAGAAAATACTATTTTTCTGAAACAAATACACAATTTTAACCAATACACAATTTAACCAAAATAGGGAGTAAATGAGCAGTTTTAAATGCCCAGGGTATCATCTATTATATTAACCATGGACCGTGGGGATTTAAAAATGAGAAAATTCATTGAAACTATAATTTGACGAGCGAAACATGATAACACGTTTGATGTAACCATGTATGCCTTGAGTTAAGGTTTCTTCCCATTTCTTGTTCTTTAAACATCTACAGAATACATGGCCAATGAGATTCATCGTTAGCAGTCCTCAACGAAAAAGAAGTACGTACCACAACAAGCCATCCTGCGATTTAAAAAGATGCCCTGGGTTCTTTAGTTTTACCACCCTAGTAGTAGGAAAAGGAGGTTTCTGGCACATTTACAAAAATACCCTGAAAAACAGGGCAATTTTGAAAACTGATTTTTTTTCATTTTTTTCATTTTTCACCTCATTTAAAAAAAAAAACCATGTTTTTTTTTTCTTCTCAAGAGATGAACCTCAAAGACAGAACGAGATCAACAGAATGGGTGAAGAGGCTTCCAGAAGTTGTTTCTGCATTAAATCGTGAGGAGACAAGATTGACTGGAAAGAAACCAATTGACGCAATCAAAGAAAAGGTGGTTAACGCAAAGAGTTCAACTTCTTATTCAAGACCTGTTGGCTTGAAAGAAAAGAGACTTGACTATTCAAAAAACGTGAGATATCTCTATGCTCCCGGCGAGTTAGAAGGTGGAGACAGAAGAGCAACAGATCCAATCTGGTCTCTAAAAGTTTTCAATATCGAAAAAGCACTTGTGAATGAAAAAGAACCTGTTCTTTACTATCTGAAAGATGGACCAAAGCGGGGATTTGTCAGAGAAGAGCTTCAGATTGTTCCACCTAAAACTGAGCTACCTCCTGAAGGAATTCGATGAGGAGAATGCTTCATAAGCCTCTATGAGTTTTTTCTGAGATATTGTCATTAGTTTTTCTGATGGTTCAAATGAATTTTGAGATTGTCTTGAGAATCAATGTAATCTCAAAATTCTTCAATTTTGCTTTGATTTTTGAAAGAAACTGCGCCAATCATTTTGCCTGAAAAGCATTGTTGTTCATTTTTAAATGAGCAAAATTGCCCTGTTTTTCAGGCAATTGTGCCAGAAACCCACTGAATCAAATCTCAAATTATTCTTCAAATTTTTCTTTGTTTTTTGAAAGAAAAAAATGCGCCTCAAAAATTGGTTTTTTTTTTAAATGAGATAAAAAATGAAAAAAATCAGTTTTCAAAATTGCTCTGTTTTTCAGGGTATTTTTGTAAATGTGCCAGAAACCCACTGAATCAAATCTCAAATTATTCTTCCAATTTGATTTGATTTTTAAAAGAAAAAATGCGCCACAAAAACATGGTTTTTTTCTTAATAAAATGTGCCAGAAACCCCCTTTTCCTACTACTACCCTTGACTAACTGATCGGTGCAGTTTCTGCAAGTTTTCAAATTTTTCACCTGAATAAACTGTCTGACCTGTTACTCGCGAATATGCTTCACTTCTGCATTTCAGAGCTGTGGACAGCTACCTGCAACAATCCCCTTTAACCCCATACTTAATTATAGTTATATAGTTCTTTGGTAAAAAAAAATGACAAAAACGATAAATGCCGTAAGGACTAAAGCTGTAGTTTAAGAACTGAACATGAGCTTTGTACAGATATATTTCTCAACTTTCCCTGATGAGTATTCTATATTCTTATCCAACTACACCTAGACGAGTACAAAAAGCGCCATAGACGAGTACAAATATCACGCGGTATTTGTACTTGTCAATTGAAGAGTACCAGTTAAACAGGTTTTCTCGCATCGCTCAAGCGAAGAATTGGATTGTAGTTACGAAAAAAACAAACAAATGGAGGATAACTTGAATCACATTTCTGACGACGAAGAGTCGAAATGGCTGGCAAATATAGATCCAAGTTGGAGCAACTTCAGAATACCCGGCCACTCACGCCCTTTATAAATCAAGTGCTCCCGTGGTCCGCAGTCCGAAGTTGGCTAACAAATAAAATGTACTTGTTAAGATAAAGAATGAAGTGCTACCGCTGTCCGCCCTACCGAAGTCGATAAAAAAGTAGTAAACTAATTTATAAACTCAAGTGATAACGCGGTCCGCACTGCCGAAGTGGATAAATAAGTAGTAAAGTAATATTTAAACTCAAGTGCTACCGTGGTCCGCGGTCCGCACTCCCACAGTGGATGAATAGGTATTAAACTAATTTTTAAACTGAAGTGCTACCGTGCTCTGCAGTACCGAAGTGAATATGTAGTAATGTAATTTTTAAACTCAAGTGCTACCGCGGTCCGCACTCCCGCAGTTGATGAATAAGTATTCTCTTCTTTCACATCCCCATAATCCCTTGCGCCTTGGGGGGTAACCAGTCTGACAACAAAGCTAAGGACGCCATATCTGTTTACAAAACTCTTATATATCATCGTAATTTACATGGGAAAAAACGACTTTTGCTGTGCTCCAAGCTGCTCAAATAATCGGAAAAGAAACCCAAATCTCAAGTTTTACAGAATTCCGAAAGAATCTAAGCGAAGAAATGCTTGGTTAAATAGAATTCGCCGACAAGATTTTTCACCAACAGACAACACTCGATTGTGCTCAGCTCACTTCGTCGGAGGAGAAAAGTCCGATGATCCTGCACATTCGGCTTACAATCCATCCATATTTGAGTTCAAGAAGGAAATTGAAAGTCGAAAGACCAGAACAAGTCAAAAAACAAACAAAGATGACTTCGTTGCAATTGAAACTCTAAAACCAAAGCGCAAACGAGTCAGTGTAAGTACTTCACGATGACTTTGATAAGTGTTTTTTGTTTGAGTTTTTATACTTGAAACACTATTTCCAACATATCTTTTTATCATTTTCTCAGGTATCGGGGGAAAGTAGGGGTCGCCCAAGAAAATCATTCAAATCTGTTGATGATCATGAAATATGGGGAGCTTGTTTACCAATAGAACACCCATTGAAAGAGCATGACTACTGCAAGTCGCAGGTGGATCCCAAGTCAAGAGAATTAAGCGATGACATTTTGCAAGAGCTCACTTCTTTGCAGAGCAAAGTGAGCGAACTTGAGCACGAAAATCAAAAGCTACGTGCAAAATGTCTTTTATTGGATCAAATTAAGCTAGACAATGACAAATTTCATTTTTGGACTAGTCTCCCTAACTATGACACCTTCAAAGCATTATTTAACTATTTAAATGCTGTTGGTGTAGACAAAAAAAAAATGTTGGAGAGGATCTGAAATGGCTTTACGTGACTGTCAGTTAGGAAACAAACCAGGGCCATCATCCAAGCTGCCATTGGAGGAGGAGTTGTTCATGGTCGCTGTTAGATTAAGAGTAGGACTTACACTGCCAGATCTGGCATTGAGATTTGGAATCAGTGAAGCAAGTGTCAGCAAAAATTTTTCTGCATGGATTAATCTGCTGTATTTCCACTTAAAAGATCTCTGCCAAATGCCTGACTATGAGGAATGTGGAAAGGCAAATCAGTTCTCATCATTCCCTGACCTCAAAGTTATTGTGGATTGCACTGAAATCTTTACCCAGAAACCCTCCTCATTAAAGGCCTGCAAAGAAGTATACTCAAATTACAAGAGTCATACAACCTTTAAGTTTCTAGTGGCAATAAATGCACATGGAGCAATTGTTTATGTGTCTCGAGCATGGGGAGGCAGGACATCAGACAAACACATCACAGCAAGCAGTGCAGAATTTATTGCTACCCTAAAGGCAGGGGATGAATTAATGGCTGACAGAGGATTTGATATCAATGAAGCAATGGAAGAAAAAGGAGTGAAGGTTACTATTCCAGATTTTAAAGGAACAGGCAGATCACAACTAAAAAAACACGAGGGAAAGCGCTCAGAGAAGATTGCAGAGGCAAGAATACACGTTGAGAGAGCTATCCAACGAATCAAAACTTTTCAGATCCTGTGTAAACCAATTCCACTCTCAATGGCTCATTTAGCTGAACAAATTTTTACTGTGTGTGCATATCTGGTTAACTTTCAAGCACCTATCTTAAGACAGTAAGAGGAAAGTACCTGATTCATTACAAACAATATCTGTATACAAAACGGGCAGTTTTTCAGCTGTAATTTGAACATTAACATTTTTCAAATTTAAGGAACAATCTCTGGCTAAAATGACGAAGACTTCAAATTTCAACCCTGTTTCATCCTGGCTGTGGCCCCTCAATATTTTCACAATTAACATTTTTATAATCAACATATTTTGATAGTCCTATA